TTTGCAATGAATCGACAAGTAGAACCATACATACTGGAATCGGTTAACAGCAACAATAGCCTGAACACCAAACAGTCTTGCATTCTCGATTTGTTTAGACAGGTTGCACATTCCTTTTCGTATYAAATCTAGATTCTGTTGAAATACAAACGACAGATAATACATGGCAACTCGATTTAAGATGTTTTTTGTTTTTGGAGAACTGATACCTCAACACAGTCTGAAAAACAGTATAAGCTTGTTTATTCTTAGAGTACCTCTGTTGTGTATTCTTCTGCTAAAGGTTGTCCAGCCACGACCTGAAGGGAACAAGACAATGAACATGATTACTTGTTATGGGTGTCAAAGTTCTGGTATCATGAATATATGCTCAGGTCCGCCAAACAACTGGGTACAAGTAASCCAGATGAAAAAGGCATCCCGGGGACCCACTCCACGTGTTATGGGTGTAAAGTTCTGGTATCATGAATAAACGCTCAGGTCCCCCAAACAACTGGGTACAAGATGATGATCTGGGTACCCAGATGAAAAGTGCATCCCTGAACTGGGTTGATCCCCCCCCCCCAAATAGTTAAAAGAAACCCATATCAAAAACTATTTATAATAATGATCTCTACTTTCTGCCCAAGTATCACAGAAACTACTGCAAAACAATTGCAGTATCATTTGTACAGTTACCTTTGGGCCTCCGCCGTGCATTTTGAGTGCCCTTACAGTTGCTACAATGATGGCTGCATGAGGCTTGAGTCCTGCAGGGAATTTGGTAATAATAACTGCTGTATTAACATTTTAAGTATAACAGCAGATTCAATGGATATCAATACACAACTCACTGCACGTCAGTCAAAGTAAAGATACGAAACTCAGTGTGCAAATCATGGCAATACGAGATTAAGACCTTCAAGTCTTCTCGGATAAGGACTTTAAACCGTAGGCCCTTTCTMCCAACAWTTCCAAACCTGCAGTAAAATATAGGGGGACATAAAAGAACCTGTTGAATTATTCGTGTAAGAGTAGCGGATTGTCTCCCGGTTCAACAGCCTATCCCTGTCTGGAGGCATAACACCAATGTACTATAAAATCACTCATGATTGTAAGCTGCACTGCTGCTAATAGCGCCTTAATATGTGAAGCGCATTGAGACGTTGTATAAATGCGCTATATAAGAACCTCCCATTATTACTATTATTATTTATCTAATGAGAGTTGATTTAGACAACCATGGTCATGACAAAAATTACTCACAAGCATGCCAAACTCAATACAAAATGCTAAAACAATAGGATTTTTAATCTAATAACTAGATAGCTGCTAAAGTTAGTATAGAGCGGTTTCATGTAAAACATGTTGTAAGGAAATATAAACATAATGAAATCGCGTCAAAGATGTTGCATTGTTCCTAATCTACTGAAGSAAGCCTGTTGCTATCCATACATACCACTGTATCGGCACTTGATATCAAAGAACTTCTCCATCCCAATATCTGCACCAAAACCACACTCTGTAACTGATTCAGAAGTAATTTCGAATATTAGTAACTTGAGTGCTAAATATTTAGATGACATCAAAAGACTTTGAAAAGTCTCAAGTGCAGCAAGGCACATCTAGTTGTACTACTGCAATATCCCCCCCCCCCCCATTATTTTAAAGGAATTTACTATCAATGAAACAATGGATAGCTGCAATATACTCAAACTACTATAACCCTATCTAATACTTACAGACAAATCCTTCAGGACCCACAAGCTTCAATGCTATCTTGTCTGCTAATATGGATGAGTTTCCATGAGCGATGTTAGCAAACGGTCCAGCATGTACAAACACTGGGGTACCCTGCATACAACCAGACACGATTTATGTTAMGCTTGCACAGAAAAAATCAATGACGAAAATTGCATCAAAACTGGTAGCAAAAGATCAAGGTCCATCCCAGTATGTTGGTTCCAAAATATACACTGTAAATTATAAATATCATCGATGGAACTGATAACTTGAAATATGGAACAGCTACTGTTATTCAAGTAGCAACTCAATAGAAATATATTAAGTAACTTAGTACGGAAATGACTTAGTACGGAAATGATTGACTAGAGCAGTTTACATAAGTGGGAAACGTAAATTACAGCATGTACATGGTAATTCATCTAA